ATTGGCTATCCCTCCCAATTTGGTGTCATCTGCAAACTTGATGATCCTGCCTTCTAACCTTCATCTAAGTCATTAATAAAGATGTTGAACAGGACCAGGACCAGGACAGAACCCTGCGGCACTCCGCTCGTCACTTCTTTCCAAGATGAAGAGGAAGCATTAGTAAGTACCCTCTGGGTTCGTCCATTTAACCAATTACTGATCCACCTCACTGTAGTTTTGCATAGCCCACATTGGACTAGTTTGTTTGCCAGAAGGTCGTGGGGGACGTTGTCGAAGGCCTTACTGAAATCCAGGTATGCTACATCCATGGCATTCCCCGCATCTACCCAGCTTGTAACTCTATTGAAAAAAGAGATCAGATTAGTCTGGCATGACTTGTTTTTGATAAATCCATGTTCACTATTAGCGATGACCGCATTTGTTTCTAAGTGTTTGCAGACCACTTCCTTAATAATCTTTTGCAGAATCTTGCCTGGTATCGACGTGAGGCTGACCGGACGGTAGTTATTTGGGTCATCCTTTTTTCCCTTCTTGAAGATTGGGACCACATTGGTCCTCCTCCAGTCTGCTGGAACTTCTCCTGTTCTCAAAGAACTCTCAAAGATGGTTGCCAATGGTTCCGAAATGACTTCCGCTAGTTCCTTCAGTACTCTTGGGTGTAGTTGATCTGGGGTCTTGAACTCATTTAGAGTGGCCAGGTATTCCTGGATGACTTCTTTCCCAGTTTGGGGTTGGATGTCCTCTAATCCCTCATCCACTCCATCTTGCTGAGGTTGAAGATGACTTTCTTTTTGTGAGAAGACCGAGGCAAAGAAGGTATTAAGTAGTTCTGCCTTTTATTATTTATTTATTTATTTAGAAGTTTTCTATACCGGCCTTCTCACCTCAACGAAGGACTCAGGTCGGTTTACAGCATATAAGAAAGTACAGTAATACCACAAGGTGCAAAGTCATTACATAGTACACTAAAATACAATAAAACATCCCTATACCCTGTCAGCATTGCCCCATTTTCTCCTTGAAGAGGCCCTATCGCCTCCTTGTTTTTGCTTTTTTCTACTGACATAAGAAAAGAAGCCCTTTTTATTGTTTTTAATGTCCCTGGCAAGCCTGAGCTCGTTTTGTGCTTTAGACTTGCGGACCTTTTCCCTATGTAAGACTACTTCATATGCCATCACAAATAAAACAAAACCTCTTTTGAATTTTTATGTGTAGATTTATATTCAGTGCAAAAATGTCATATTTTGTGTAAAAAAAAGAAGACAAAACATCACATCCATTTTTATACAGTACGTTGCTGTGAAGATTCTCATCAGTTCAGCATTCTCCTGATTGGGTTTTCCCAACACCTGAGAAATACAATTTTCTGACTTTTTTCCCAAATATTTCTGAATATCCTTTTCATTCCTTACCTGAATTTATAGTAGTTCAGCTAAAAGCTCTCTATAATATTATCATAAGTAATAGCAACCACCATTTTCATTCCCATCTCTCCAATGGTTCACCAGCTCTCACACACAGGAAATTGTCTTGGAAGAAGAGGCATGATGTATTTGCCAGGTGCTAATCCATCAACAAAAAATCCCTAAACAATGACAGCCAAAGAATAACAACATCTGCTCAAACAAATGATTTATGAAGCTGGAAGTTTTTGTGCCAGGGTGTACTTTCTCTGTGTTTATACAGAGCGATCTGTACCCCTAAACCAAGGGGAAACAAATAGTCAATAAGCGCATAGACCAGCTGTTGCATGACACTCTCTGTCTATCACAGGAGTCCCTTTCATCTTTTTATTATCCTAAAGGGATGGTTAGAAGATGGAAATAATGGAAAGTTAGCTTTAGGCTATAATCCGATACACACCTAATTGAGAACAAATCTCATTAAATTCAAGATCAGCTACTGCTGAGTAAACATGTTTGTGCTGGTAACGTGAGCAATTTTTGATGCAAGAAGGTTATTTGGGACATAATTGTGTTTATCAGAATTGCACTTCTCCTCACCTGTCTTTTTCCTCTAATTCAGTCCTGATTTATTTTCTCACCATGGAAGCTAAACAGAGTCTACACAGAACTACACAGAATGTGTAGCATTGACTTATATCTTCCCTATCTCAGTCTCCATAGACATGTCTAGTAAAATAAATATGTGATGGGATTTAATTATGTTCAGTGAATTTCCACCTATGCAAGGATAGAATTTGGGAGTAATTGTCAGGCTTAAATGCCTTTCACAGAAGCTCTGCCAGGTTCACCAGATATAGCTCTGAAAATCATGGACTCTGGAGACGTCAGGTTACAAGCAAATTCAAGTTTACTAAGCACAAAGCAAAAACATATCCATTACATGGAGTGTCTAAGCATTGAGAAAGCACACAGGAAACTAAAGCCATAACAGTTCTTGCAGCTGCTTGGCTCTTCTGCTGCAAATGGTTAACTCCCTACATTTCTCACACAACTCAGTAGAGAGCTTATCTCATGACTACTCAATCATAGCCTCAAAGATAAACAATTCAGCACAGCATTACTCTCTATGTGGCATCCATATTGGCAATACATGAATTACATTTAAAACATATTACAAAACTTCATTATACTCTGACAATAATGACTTCCTTACAATATGTAAGTTACTTGAAATTATAGTGATACCTTGAGTCAAAAGTTTAATTGTGATCAAGCTCTTCACTCAAATTGCTCTTATTTCAAAGTAAATTTCTCATTGAAATGCATTAAATTGTTTAGGCTGTTCTGGCCCCCTGAACCAAACCCCACATTCTTTGTTACATTTTTTAAAAACAAAAACAAAATTGTACTTTATAAATAGCAAAAAATGTATAAATACACATTCACATGGAACAATAAAAAGAAAGATCAACTTTTAAATGGTAAAAGTACAAGTTATGGCACAATGGTAGACACACAAAGTTTTGGCAAGGAAGCAGAAAGCAAAAAGTGAAAAGGCAGAAGCATAATTTTCTTCATACTGTACTCATTCCAGCCTCCCTCCTTCTCTCTCCCCTCTGTTGTAGCCCGGCCAGCTGCATGACTCCTTTGCAACCAAACACCATAGAGTTAAAAGGTAGTAAGAAGTTTATTAAGAAAAGAGTATATAATGGAAACGGCAGACTAAAAAATGAATAAGCAATAATCCAAAAGTTATTCCCAAATAATCAGAATAGGCAATCACCAAGGTACATTCAAAATCCAGACTTTAAATGCATTTTCAAAATAACATCCTTAAACTTGATATTCTTTGTTATAGCAATCAGCATTGGCCAACTCTGAATGTAACTCCTCAATCCCCAAAAGGTAAAAACAAGAAACTGCAATCCAAGGGTTCCAAAATTTAATCAAAGAACTATAATCCAAAGACTTGAAAACATGAACAAAGAACTATTATCCAAAGGCTTGAAAATATGAACAAGGAACTATAATCCAATTGCGAGTTACTGATCTTAAACAGGAAAGCAGACACAAAATGAAAGGCAAAAACTCTTAACACAGAGCTCCAAAACAGGCAACTTGATACATGAAAATCCAGTGTTGATCTCACAATGAACATAGTTGCAGATCACTTAAAATGTTTAATTCTTACCAATGTCATCACTCTTTCTCATACCTGGATTCTTGTTGCTTATTTTTCAGCCTCTAAGCAAAACACAGTTGTCTCTGCTTAGCACTATCCCTTCAGAATTGTTAACCACTGAGTTATAGACAAAGTTCCTGTCTCCTCCACATTTCTTTCAGAGTCAGTCCCTGGCAGATTCTCATGAGAACCACTTTCTGTTTCTTTAAACGCAGATTGAACCAAAACATTTCCATCATCCAAGGGAACTTCTTAAGACCCCACTAAAGTAACAGACTCAGAAGTAAAAACATCACACCCAACCAAAAGGTTCCCCGATCATCCTTATCCTCAGAGGCTTCACAGGTCTCAACACCCTCTCTCTTTTCATGAAGCCAAACACATCAGGAATAAAAACTACTCAAGATCAACTAACCCAAAGTTCCTCAAAGCAGACAAGAGCAAACCAGGCGGCAATCTTTAGAAGCCCTAAAGCCCTATACTTCCATGCTAGTGCTCTCTCTGGCACTAGCTTTTAAGTAAAACACTTATATGTCAAAGTGAAATATGGGGCTAGCAACAGCTCTTAACTCAAAATGCTTTTAAGTTGGGAGACTTCTAAGTCATGATTCCACTGTAATTATGTTCCACCACAAATTGTTTCAGAACAACTAATTGCTAGTTATTTGTAATTAATTATTTTTCTCCATAACTTTGGTATACATTCTGCTTGCAATTTAATGTTCCTATAGCGGACATAGCAAAACTGTGCCAGGTTTTAATCTAAAACCCAAGAGAGTTATCCAAGGTACTAGATCAAACCTAAAAAGACAAAAAGGCTCTAAATAACTAATAAAGAATGAGAAAGCCTCACAGTGTTGCAGAAAGGTAATTTTATTTTTCAAAGTATCCCAGCACATTTTGACTGCAAATATTTCTGTGTCTTTGTGTAGATCCAACCTTAAAGTCAAACTACAGGTGCTCTAAAAACAGCATGCTTATACTTATCATAAAGTTGTATTTTTTAAATTGATTCCCCTGAAGAAGGCCATAAACTATTTCTAAGCTGAGACACTCCCATACCATTATACTTCCTTTGCCCATGCCAGAAAAAATGCATCCTTCTCTCCTTTCTCACCCCCCCCCCCCAACTGAGAGGCATTCCAAAGCATGGGGGACCCTGGAAAATATGGGGAGCCTTCCATTTTGGGCACTTGATGGCAAGCAACCATTTTAAATAAGGGTCTACTGCAATATCTCTATAGCAATCATTTTCAATATGGGCAGACTTTGTTTTGAAATTCCCTGGTGAGTTCTGCCAAAATATGATTTATGACAGATGCTTCTTCCTGTATCCTTGCTGTTTATTTCAATCACCACTCTAGATAACCTGATTGGAAGACAGGTTCTAGCATATATGTAAGTTTCAAATGCCTGTGTTGAAGGAAGCTTTTGCTTTGAAGGTAAGTAGTTCAGTGTGCCCAGGCATGTATACCAGAGTGAGACTGGACAACTTGAAATAACAATGGATTTGGCAGCCCAGTCCTCAAATCCAGTGACTCCAGATTTCATCCTGATGTGAATTGAATATATACTTTAGCAATCATCTCACTTTGACAGACTTTTAGCACAACACCACAAATATGATATCATAGGCATCACAGAAACCTGGTGGGATGACTCCTATCACTGGAATGTAGACATCGAGGGCTATAACCTCTTTCACAGAAACCGAACAAAGCGGAGAGGAGGCGGAGTAGCCTTATATGTCAAAAACTCTTATGCTGCAGAAGAAATGCATGACAGCAATCCGGGAAACCAGCTTGAAAGCATCTGGATAAAAATCAAGGGAACTGGGACTCAAAAATATCTCGTTGTAGGAGTCTACTACAGACCTCCAAGCCAGGAGGAAGAACTTGATGAAGTCTTCTGCCAACATTTGACCAAACAGGCACAGAGAAGAGATGTAGTAGTCATGGGCGATTTCAACTATCCCGATATTTGCTGGAAAACAAACTCGGCCAAGAGTACAAAGTCCAACAAATTCCTCGCTTGCCTTGCAGACAATTTCATGGTCCAGAAGGTAGAAGAGGCAACAAGGGGATTGGCTACTCTTGATCTCATCCTAACAAATGCGGAGGACCTGATCGATGCGGTTGAAGTGGTAGGATCCTTAGGGGCAAGTGACCATGTGCTCCTGCAATTTGAGGTACAAGGGAAGGCCAAAACTAAGACAAGTCAAACCCACATTTTGGACTTTAGGAGAGCTGATTTCCAAAAAATGAAGGAAACGCTGAGCAGCATTCTGTGGACACAGATACTAAAAGACAAGGGAGTTACAGATGGATGGGAGTTTCTCAAGAATGAAATACTCAAGGCACAGTTGCAAACCGTGCCAACAAAAATAGGACAAGTGCAAAGAAGCCAGAATGGATGTCCAAAGAACTTCTAACTGTGCTGAGACACAAAAGAGACATGCACAAGAACTGGAAAAAGGGAGAAATCGCCAAAGAAGAATTCAAACAAATAGCCAACACCTGTAGGGAAAAGGTCCGCAAGGCTAAAGCACAAAACGAGCTCAGGCTTGCCAGGGACATTAAAAACAATAAAAAGGGATTCTTTTCTTATGTCAGTAGAAAAAGGAAAAACAAGGAGGCGATTGGGCCTCTTCGAGGAGAAGATGGGGCAATGCTGACAGGGATAGGGAAAAGGCAGAACTACTTAATACCTTCTTTGCCTCGGTCTTCTCACAAAAAGAAAGTCATCTTCAACTTCAGCAAGATGGAGTGGATGAGGGATTTGAGGATATCCAACTCCAAATTGGGAAACAAGTCGTCCAGGAATACCTGGCCGCTCTATATGAGTTCAAGTCCCCAGGTCTGGATTAACTACACCCAAGAGTATTGAAGGAACTAGTGGAAGTCATTTCGGAACCATTGGCAACCATCTTTGAGAGTTCTTGGAGAACGGGAGAAGTTCCAGCAGATTGGAGGAGGGCCAATGTGGTCCCAATCTTCAAGAAGGGAAAAAAGGATGACCCAAACAACTACCGTCTGGTCAGCCTCACGTCAATACCAGGCAAGATCCTGGAAAAGATTGTTAAGGAAGTGGTAGAAACAAATGCGGTCATTGCTAATAGTCAAAATGGATTTATCAAAAACAAGTCATGCCAGACTAATCTGATCTCTTTTTCGATAGAGTTACAAGCTGGGTAGA